AGAATACATTGTATAGTTCGGCGAAGCACACATATATTCATGGATAGATCTCTAGATATATAATATATAACTATATTATCAGTATAGTCGAAATACTATACTCTATCTTGATTGAGAAGCTCCACAAGATAAAGGATATATAGAATTAGGGAGAACAGCGATCCCTGGAGAGTGCTGTATATAATCGAAAAGTTCTTTATCGTAATCCCCTTAAGCCTTATACATACATATCTTTTAGTCAGAAATAAATTGATGAGTTGTAAAAACGCTATAAACCAGCCCTACTTCTTTATACATTATAGGAACCGTCTTTTAAAGAGTATATTATAAATACCTTGTATATTTATTATTAGTAGTATAATTACTTTGTCTACTGTTAATGCAAACTCAGTATTATAAGTAAAAACAGCTATAAGATTAATATCAGCTTTTTTCGATAATACTCTGTAATACTAAGGGCTGATAATATTGTATTTTATAATTGTTTATATAATTTGATTAGTCATATATTTTTCTAATCCTTTTCTAATATATAATATTAATATGATTAGCCTTTATGATTTCGGGAACGATCTATCTTTTTTACTAATCTTGGACAATATAACTACTTTAGCAAGTTTCTATTCGTTAAGATAGTAGTTGAGCCTAAAGCAGATTATAAAGATCTCATATATTATATTCTTGATATTAAGTTAGTATATCTTAAGGAGGCAAATAGTTGCCTGATTGATTCTGGGTAATGTGTTTTTGACTTTTATTATATGTTTTTCTACTTCCTTTGTAGTGATTGTTCTTTTTTATAATAAGATTATTTGATAGCCCTCTTCCTATAATAAATCATATTATAAATTATTCAATACTTTGAAGTGATTGAGTATTATTGCAAAGAGCACTTTAGCCTTTTCTCTAATATCAATAATCTCCTAGTTCTCGATCACTAGAAAGGAGGCCTTAAGGTTTGCTTTTGGGATTAGCTTGTACCAGTTCATGACTTTGTATAGTTCCTGATCATTCTATATATCATTCAGATGCTTAGTCTAATAGGCTCGTTTCAATACTCATACGACCCTCTGTAGATCTTGTCGAACAATTGCCACACCATCAGCCATAGCAGTCTCCCTAACTTGTATATATATGCAATGTGCCTCCTTACATTCATTGATCTATTACAGGAATGATCGATAAGGTTTGCAGCCTTTCTGTCCCACAACTTCTATAAAGGCACTCAGTATATTTGTGAGTCTAGCAATCAGTCTATCGACATCATAAGTAGATTGAAGATTAGGGTTCTAAAGGTTCGTTAAGCGGTTGGCTATTATACCTACTAGATAAAGTAAATCTGAATCGCGTATCCAGGTATGCGTCTGCTCATACTCAGAGATTCCTCTGTTCAGGATAGTAGTGACTTGAGTGACATGATCGGAACCGCTATGCAGATTGTTATCGATCACTGTCGTAGCGGTAGTCAGGTTGGCAGAAATGAATTATATTATAACTACTTTCTAGAATATATTATAATACAAAGTAGATTCGCTATACCTACAAACGCTTTCCCAGCTCACTTATGATAAAAACTATTAGTACTAGGCTTTTGGTAGAATTGTCTAACTACATTAAACCACCTATTACATAATTACCTTTAAAAGTTCCGGCTAAAACCAAAACCATTCCTTTATACCTCTATTCCTGTTTACTTCTTAAGCTATCTAATACCTTCATTATACCCTCTACTTTATAATATCCGATTATAAACCAATACACATATTCATTCTCTCAAGCTATATAAACAATAATCACTATCACTATCATTATATACTATACCTCACAACTAATAACTATTTCATATTATCTTACTAAATCTCTTCTATACAATAAGGCCGACTATATCTTGCAGACTTGCTATTTCAAACCCCTAACCAGACAGTCTTTCTATAGTATTTCCAACTCACTAACCAAAACTCTATTTATAAATCCACTCCCCCAATATATAATTTGTAATCGAAATAAAGCACTAAAAACACATTGCATATATATATCATAAAATTAGCCTCTACCTGAAATCCTCCGCCACCATAATACCAATCAAGCATTATCAAGTATAGCTTATTAAAAGCATCCTTCTATACCAAAACTCCTTTATCACCATATCACTCCTATATACTCGGAAATAAAATACTAAAAACATCCCTCCTTCTATTTTATATATATTCCCACCAACCCTAATAAACATTATCCTAATCTTTATATACTTCCTACTATTTCTCTTACTATTTATAAATATTCGATTCAATATACTTACAGATTATATATATTATTAGATTTAATAAAAACTCTATACACTAGCATCCCAGAAGTATTCTATTAATTTTCGTTTATCAAGTTAAGGATATCGGCCCTACTTTTAATATAAGTTTTAATTAGACTCAATTATATTATAAAAGCTTTATTATCCACTATTTCAAAAGCTAATTCCGCTTCACAAACACTCTATTACAATATACTCTGGTTCTACTCCCTATACAGATTCATAAAAACATAATTCCATATCAATCCCACTCTCATCTCCCTTTCATCATCAAATAGTTTTCATTTCCGTTTTACTGATAATTCTTTATTCCAAGCATCTTTATAATCACCCTCTAATAATCAGCTATACATACCTTTACTCCCAATATAGCCTCCAATTAATATATAATCATCACCCAGCTCCAGCTGACTCTACTTAGCTTTCCGATCACACGATCAAAGGTTTGTAGGATACACTACGTACAGATGAGAGTCATCGTATCCCGGAGATCGGGGGATGAAACATCTTCCATACAGTATTGAAGCGATTGTGCGTCTCGTTATCTGCTATTTCTTTGATTGTTAATTACTATATTATTAGATTTTCTGGAAGCTGGATTTTTGTCTCGGCTGTTTTGATTTCTATATATATATATAGATATGAAAAGTGACTTCAAAATCCTCAAGAACTTGGACTGAAATATAGATACTCCCTAAGATAGTAGAGAACTTTATAGGACCTCGTAGTCTAGTCGTAGAAAATGGAATATCTAGATAAACTTTACTAATAAGGATCCCGACTGTACAGCTTGAGCAGTAAATTTGTTAACTTTCTGATTATAAAGGTAAATCAAGAATCGAACATCTGGTTTATCTAATAACTTGAGGTTCGGGTGAGCCATCAATCTACTTTGCTATTTCCCCCCTTAGAGTATTCAATAGTTTGAACTATAGTTCAATAATATAAGGGTTTGAACATCTAAAAGCAATTAGAAATTTGAAAATCGTTCAATAATCTAATCGAATATAATATCTCAAATAATTTGAATATTCTGATTGATTTGAAGATTTGATAATCTTTTTCGTTGGACTACAGTCCGGATTATTCAACACTCTATCCCCCTCTTCGTTGTAAATGGAATCAAGACGGAAGGGAGATATTCGCCACTACTTGGTTATAACAAAAGATATCTCCATACCAAGAAAGAAATGTATTGATTTGAATCATCTTCAAAGATAGATCAAATTCCCATTCCCATCATACCCTCCCCATCCCTCATGCTCCCCCAAAAAGCAAAAAAATTGCAAACCTCTAATCCCAGCTTCAAACTAGGTATGGAAAAGAAGAATGTTCTATTTATGAGAACCTTCTAATAGGAATCGAACCAATATCTCCGGAATCAAAATCCGACGTGCTAACCATTACACCATAGAAGGATTGCGTGTTTGATGTAATGGAGTGGTTTATTTGCATCTATATTGTTGTGGTGGACGACGCATTGAAGAGATTTTCTGCGGAGTGGGGCGGGGTGGAGGGCGAAAGGACCTTCTTTGAGGGGCGCAAATGAATGGCTTGTACCCGCGACTAAGAACAAAACAGGGATGAGGGTCATTGCAGGAGTTGAATCGGAACATTCAGTCGTAATCGAAGGTTCGACGTTGGCACTACCATGAAGAAAATGTTGTACATAATTTTTGCCCCCGTCACAATTGTAACGAAAAATGATCGATAAACCAAACTATGGTTTTGTAAGGTATGTCCGAAATACTCTTTAAGAAACGCATCATCATCTTTCAAACGAATCCTCCTCATAAAAATTTCGTCGAAAACTTCCAACGTCTTCAAGAATATATACTACTCAGGTAGTCTGGGTAGGGATATTCAATGTACGGACTGACAGGCTCGATGGAACTTGAGTCTTAAAGTCTCAAAGAAACACCATATATATATTCATATATTGAATCCAGGATCCCATAGCACTTGAAAACTTATGGTTGAATTACAGAAATTGAAGCTTCCAATTGTCGGAGTTCACTGGAGACTATTGAAAGCTTTGATTGTTGGATTGTGTGTTAAACTATTGAGAGCTTTCAATCATCGAGTTGCATGTCAAACTATTGATATGTACCTTCTGATTGCCGGACTATATCCTAAACTATTGGAAGCTTTTGATTGCTGAATTGTATTTCAAACTATTGAAATCCCTGTTTGAGTCTGGCCCTCAAGCACCACAATTATCTTCCTAGAAGGTATCTCGGTAGTCTATCAAGCGTCGAAAATCCGTACATCTCAAGCGCAGCAGGAAATGCTTGGACAGCGATAGGTATAGAAGAAGTTGTAACCATAATATCCGGCAAATGATATCAGAAGAGCGATGGGAGAATCCATGAAGTGCGTGCGAGTGAGAGGGGCTCAAAGCACTTGCTATAATAGAATAATGCTGTTTTATTCATAGCGATCAAATAGAAAGAGCAACATTTCCTTGAAAGCCATACATTGATGTAGGAAGTTTGGTTCCGCTGGCACAGTTACTGAAAGTGTGTCAACTTGCCCTGCGACTAACAGCGTGTAGTTGAGAGTTTCTGAATCGTATTGACATTGATTGAAGGGTTTTAATTATTGTGTAAAGTCTTCAACCCTTTAACCCTTCGAGAGTCGAGTTTTCATTTTGGTTGAAAATAATATGGTAATGAATTGATATGGAATTTTGGGAATGTCAATAGACGGAGTAAGGTTGCCGGTATGATGGATGTATCGTAGGGACAGATGTAGAGACAAACCGAGGAAATGACACAATCCCGCCTTATCACCGAAATGTGGGGTAAGCTTATAGCTATCAAACCCCCACCCCTCCATTCATACTATTAATCATCCATCTCCCCTCTCTTTTGTCTTATCTCTGACTCTTTTCCAATTGTCCTTTTCTCAATTGATCTACAGATATATCTTCTGCAATTCTACTACGTATGCCAACTCTCCCAAGACCATACTTAGTCCTACCAACTCTTAAATCCTTCTTCAAACATCCATCTCGTTATCGATCTCCTCTTCCACAACTCTACAAACGAACCATGTCCTCCGCATGTCCAACGTCTCGAGGGTAAAACCATTGTTATAACTGGTGCCTCATCTGGAATTGGCAGAAGTACTGCTTTAGAATTTGCGAGAACTTCTCCTAAAGATTTGAGATTGATCTTGACAGCTAGAAGAATTGATGTTTTGGAAGAAGTAAAGAAGGATATTGAGAAGGAATGTGGTGATGGGGTTAAAGTTTTGGCTGTTAAAATTGGATGTTTAGTAAACCTGAGGAGGTGAAAGGGTTTGTTGGTGGATTGCCGGAAGAATGGAGGGAGATCGATGTTTTGGTCAATAATGCGTAAGTGTTTCTCAACTTTGAGGGAAGGGAAACTAAACTCTTTAATCAGTGGTCCTAGTCAAAGGTGTAGCACAAGCTCCATCTATCGCTGAAGAAGATATCAACATCATGTTCGCAACAAACGTAACTGGTCTTATCAACATGACTCAGGCTGTCCTCCCAATTTTCAAAGCGAGACCAGATGGTGGAAAGGGCGATATTATAAACATTGGCAGCATTGCAGGAAGAGAACCATACCAAGGAGGAAGTATCTATTGTGCCACTAAAGCAGCCATTAGAAGTTTTGGAGATTCGCTGAGAAGAGAATTGATCGCTACAAGAATAAGAGTCATTGAAATCGATCCTGGACAAGTCGAGACCGAATTCAGTGTCGTTCGATTTTACGGCGATAAAAAGAAGGCAGATGCTGTCTATGCCGGATGTGAACCATTGACTCCGGATGACATCGCTGAAGTTATTGTTTTTGCAGCCGGAAGAAGAGAGAATGTCGTTCTTGCCGATACTTTAATTTTCCCCAATCATCAGGTATGTTTTTAATTCTTTTGGTGCGAATACAGGAACTAATAGAGGTATTGGCAGGCTGCTGCCACAGTAATGCATAAGAAGTCATAAACTGACCATCCATAGGCTGGTGCTGGAGGTGCAATGTATAAGAAGAGCTAAGGCATTCTGTTTGTGCATAGAAAATGTATACCCTACGATAGAAGCGAGAATGAGTTTTACAATGCATAAGATAGATATCATATTCTTTTGTTCCAAAATTCAAGAGCCTGTACTCCTGTTCTGGAAACCAAATGAAGCTTGTATCATCAAAGGTTTCTCCGTCGCCTCTTCATCTTATTTCATTACTTTCATTGTCTGGTCAGGTGAAGAGTTCTTATCTATCTATTCACTGCTCTGTAAAGATTTTACATTGTCTGCAAGTGCTATATTGAGCCTATAAATGCGGAATCAGAAAATTCTTAATCTTGGTCTTGATCTCGGATGGCTTCACATTAGGGAGTCTCGCTCAACCGTGGTATTTTCTTAAGTATTAAGTTTGGATTTTCATTCATAACTACAAACATAATCATTGGAGATAAATAGCCTCTTATAAAACCAGAAAATATTCATACATTCATTCAATCCAACCATGTACCCACTTCTCAACCCAGGCTGCCTCAACACCTATCAACCTACGCAATTTCCCACTTTCCTGTACTGTTTTCTTATTCTCCAAGATACTCGTACCTCTTCCCTTTGCTAATTCTTTATAAAAGGACAATAGTTTGATAGCCGGGTTCTTTTCCAACATTTCTTCAAAATCAATCTTTGAATGTAAATCCTCGGCGTCTTTTCGAACACGCTCAATCCATTTCGCAAAAGGTACAGGAGTAATTTTGTTTTCTTGCCCTACTGTAGCGGTCTCAATAATCCTAGGTAATAATGACTTCCACGGAACGAGAACAGGATTGACGGGATGATAAACTTTGGCACCGTGGTTGTGATCAATTCTCTGGGACAATACAAGTTCCACAAGTATATCAGCGATGAGATCAATAGGCACCCAGTCAACTTCGCTACGGTCGGTTGAATCAAGTGATTCGGGTATAATACCAAGATGTATAGAGCTAAGCACGAGACTTGGAAACCACTCATGTTTGTTCCAGATTCCGGTAGTAGAGACCGGACCTGCGATTTGTCCCACGCGAGCTATGCTAATGGATACATGGGGAAATTTATCTGCGGCATAGGCAAGGAGGTTTTCGGCGATGAATTTTGATTCCGAGTAGCCCATTGGAAGAGATGCTGATGTATCTGTGATTACGCTTTCGGGGACATCTCCTGAAAAATTACCGACGGAGCTAAGGGATGAGAGGAACATTAGAGAAGGTGTTTGAGATGCGGTAGCTGCAAATTCAAGCAAATTGATGACGCCTTTGATGTTGGGATGGAAAGACGATAGTGGAATATTGAAATTTACAGGCCATGCATTGTGGATTATATGTGTTGCGGAGGCTTTGACCTTTTCGAATATCTCGGGCTCAAGACCTAATCGTTCTTCTGAGAGATTGGCTTGGAGAAATGTGACGCGATTTGAAGGAAATTCGGTAGGAAGTCCATGAGCTTTACTTCGTTTGATTTGTGATTGTTCCCCGGCAGTTCTATTGAGACAAAAAATGTGCGAAACGGCGCTTGATGAGAGAAGAGTTTGTAATATGTATGATCCTAGTGTACCGGTGGAGCCTGTGAGGACAACAATCTTTTCTTCTGATGAAGTGCCATCTGCATCTTTTACCCCGTTCAAGTGCGTCTGGTTATCTGGGGGAGCGATCTCGTCTAAGATAGCCTTGTATTCAACCAAGCTATCATGAGTACCTTGCTCTCTAGACTTACTATCCGAAGACTTCTCCGCTTCGTGGAGCGAAGAAAGCTGGATTATCGTCTCGGCAAGAGATTTAACCGAAGGATTGGTATACAGTCCTCGAATGAATAAATCGTCCTCATCCTGAAATGTGATGCTTCCTATAAGCTGGGAAATATTATCGTGGATGAATCGACTTATGGAGATACTGTCATTCATATCTATTTTAAGCTTTTCAATTTCGGGTGCTGAAAGGTTTAGTGAAGGTGAGCTCGACATTTTATCCGCGTCGGCATAAAGATTATCGATTTCTTTCGAGTACAAATCAAGTGTTGGTTGTCTCTGAACCATCCCCTTTCCTGATCTCCCCATAGGTTTATCCGGACTAGTGAAGAAGACATGAGATTTAGCAACTTTAGCATGGCGAGGACATTCCTGATTTGCTTGCTGAATAGTCGGCCATATACGTTCGATTGCCTTTGCTCGTTCCACAGTAGAAAGTGCTTGGGGAGATATCAATTCAATCAACAACGCGGTTTGGAATCGGTGCGTACCAATGACAAGCGCAGCTCGTACTTCAGGATGATGTGATATTTGTTGTTCCATACTGACAGGATTCGTTTTTTCGCCAGTTAGAAGGACAATAATATCATCGCTTCGTCCGGAGTATAACCACAGATCTGCAATTGAAGGATGTGGAGCATATAGATCGTGGGTTTCCCATTGATTCAGTGATGGAAACACGGAGAAAATAGGTTGGAATTTCTCAGGATCCGTATTGCGAATGAGAACCGCTTCATGACGGTTTTCGGAATGTGATCTTAATTCAATCCCAGCGTTGGGATGGAAATGGAAATATTTCCAATCTTCAGATGGCCATTTATCGCTTGGGAAGACGGCCGGGTACGCACCGCTCTCTGTAGATCCTATAATCATGGATAGTTTGAGTCGCTTGGAGATCTTGTCTCCTGTGGCTTGTGAGACGTCGCCGCCGCCGTAGAGAAGTACGTCGATATTTTTGACGAGGAAGTCTAGCATTTCTGGGGTTTTACCAACTTCTTCAACGAATGGTGGAGCGAGAAGAACGCTATCTGCTTTCACGTGCTTGAGTGCTTCGAGTACTATTTGTGTCGAGAGGGGCACGCCGGATAGGGGGTAGATAAAAGGTGTCTGGTTGAATACTGCATTTAAGAGTGTCATGAATATTCCGCCTGCCTGTAATTGATCAATCAGCTCTCAAGATTGTTATAAACGCAAAAGAGCTGTTCATTTTATAGTCTATATTCTGCAGTCTGTACTCTTCCTCTTGATGAGGGCAAGCCTCCAAGCCCCCATGGCTCGCTGCCGCTCGAATACCCCCCAGCACATGTTTACCTTTGGTATCTATCTGTCTCCTTGTATCGATCCCTTTCATTGCTAAGCAAACAATCAACAAAAAAGCAACTCACATGAAAAGGCGGTAATGTATTCAAAAGTCTCGTCCTGCAAAAACAACAATCAGATCACTCTCAACCACACAATAAAAGATACTTACGAAGTCCACAACGCAGTTTGATTCGTATAACCATCCGGAGGAGCAATCGCAAGCTAATCACTCCAACTAGCTACCCACTCATGGTTCCACAATATAGGCTTCGGAAACCCCGTGGTTCCAGAAGTATGTAGAACGACCAATGGTTCTTTTCGTGCTTGCTCGAATGTTTTGTTAAAGGGATAGTGGGGGTAAATGTTATCGAGCAATTCGTCCACATCTGGACACTCGATTGCTCGGGCGCCGGTGGCTTCGATGATTGAGTGTGTCATGGGGAGAACGGGATTAACTGTGATGAGGACTTTGCACTCCAGAATCTTGAAGAGATTCGTATGGGCTGGTATACTGTTTCGCGGGGAACTGAAGAACATCTATCCTCACTACTGTTAGAGAAGTCCCATGACCAAAGCTGTAGGTTGTATATAACATGCCTTGTACCCCGCTTTCACATCAGCCAACATCAGCGCATTGTACCGGAAATCGTTCGGACCAATATAAGCTAAAGTAGGAAAGTTTTCCGCAGGACCAAGAGTATCGTGCAGCCAATGAGCGAGACCATTGATTGCATTTGCAAAGTTAGCATAGCTGATCTTGCGGTATCCGTACTCGTAGCTGGTGGCGGATGGTGGGACTTCAGCGTAGATGGTGCCGGGTCGAACTTTTGCTAAACCGTCGACAATGTTATTGAGGAGTTGCTTGCGACGGATGGGTTTTAAGCTGGTTTCTTCGAATATAATGGATGCCATGTTCTTAGGTTTGTGGAGCCGAGGAACAAAATAAGATGGGAAAAGACTTGTGAATAGGAGTCAGTGATATTTAGAATGGGGAATCGGAAGACATGCAACTAACAGTATTTGAAGACTGAACAATAGAAAGAGATGAACATTCCTCTCTGAAGAAACATGTAAGAATCAAAGAACAAGTATACACTAATAATACAGCAAAGTCATGTATACCCAGGAGAGCCTGACGCGAGATGTTTGTGCCGTCAAACCATAACCCATCTTACTACATATGTATGTCATATATTCTATGCTATAATGCTTGATTATACGGATATGATCTTCCATTTACAAGGAGATATGTATACGTGTGTGTATGCACTTGAACACTTTTGACAACACCAACTTTTCAAATCTTACTATGACAAAGAATCTGGCATCCTCCAACAATAATCATTCTATGACGATACACAGAGGTGGTTCTTCTTCTAGTCCAACAGTTGTACTCCGTGAATACAGGTGGTTAGTATATCTAGCAGACCTAAAATATCACTTCTGTAGTGATGAGGCACAAGATAGTTTATTGTCAGTAACCCTATCCGCATAATGGGGCTATGCGGCACCAACAGTTAGATGTATAAGACCACGTCATGTGCGAGGAAAGAACTGTTGGCCGCGAAAATCAAGACTCTGTGCCACGTACAGTAATACTTGATAAGTAATGCGAAATAAGTCGCATACCAACATCCGAAGACATAATCTTGACTTTTCAACATCGCAATGTGTGATTTACTAGATTTATTATTAAATTACCCCTCAATTAATACATACCATTAATCTAAATTTAACCAACAACCCACAAAATCCCCTTCTTCAGACCTCCAAAACGAAATCATTTCCGTCAACTTCGCATCCAAAATGAAGGGGGGCACTCCCACCCCATGACTCAGAAGCGATAAATTGCCTGACTCGCATTCGCTTACCATAAGGTCACGCCCCACCACGAAAAAAAACTCTTCAAAAATTCTACCCGACCCACTCTGTCAGTAATATAAACGCAAAAACGCGCAGAAATTTCAACAATTCAAGCAATCCTTCTATGGTGTAATGGTTAGCACGTCGGATTTTGATTCCGGAGATATTGGTTCGATTCCTATTAGAAGGTTCTCAATGAACATTCTATCCTTCCATACTCAGTTTGAACCTGGGGTAACAGGGTTGCATTTATTTTTTGCTTTCCTGAGATGTACAGGAATTCATCTTAGATACATATAGCTTTGTTCTCACGGCGACAGCTCCCGTTCTTTTTCCTTGTCTCGATGTTTTTGTTCCTGACATTGAATATTGTTCAAGGTATTATCCAAAAGTCCAGACCGCAGTCCAACAATATAAGGGTTTGAATATCTAAAAGCAATTAGAAATTTGAAAATAGTTCTATATTATAATCAAATTCAACATCTCAGATAATCTGAATATTCTATTTGATTTGGGGATTTGATGATCTTCATTGTTGGACTACAGTCCGACATATTGAACGCCCTGATTTGCATATGCATTTTCTTTACAAATCTTCTTCCTGGCCTTCATCATCGTCTAGTTTCTTGCCATTAATATCAATCTTTATGAAGATTGTAGACAAACCGGCCAGAAAATAACATATCTATCGTTATCTTTTATCAGTACATTCATTCTACAAGTTGTTTTTATCTGCAAATTTAAGAAGTAAAAGAGTACTTACAGCAGCAACAAAAAAGGGTAACGCATGCCAAAAAGGTGGTAGGCGTAAGGTTGCCGCAAATATATGTTGCATGGAAGGATCATTGATAGCATGACCGAGATTTTCGAGCACGGCTATCGAGGCGTAGAGGGTAGCGAGGGAGGAGGCGGGAATAAAATGGGATATTAGGGAAAGGGTTGAGACTCGGGATCCGACTGAGAGGAGTTGTTAGAACTTATCTGTGGTTTTGGAGAGTAATTTGGATGCTGAAATTAGAGAAGTGGAAGAGAAGAGTACGTACAGCCTGCAGCGAAGATAGAAACACCTATTTCAAGTTAGATATTATAATTCGTCCCCAAGGAAGGAGATATCATACCAACTGGAATCCACCCACTCGTCGGTGCTAACCCAATAGCAAGAGAGCCAACCAAAAGAAAACATACACTAATCCTCATCAGTGTCAAATCGATTTTCTCGGATCTCACATGATATCTCGCTTTTATCCAAATAGTTATCCTCGGGATCAGGAAAAGGAATAGGAATATATTGATAATAGCTGTTTCGGTGTAGAACATTGCTCCTTTAGATATCTTGGTGTTAAAACGGACTGACGAATATTGGATCAAGATATTGAGAGTTATATATCTGAGGGTTCCGACTAGGAAGACTGGGATGCAGAGGAGAACGTTGGGTTGTATCATGGCGTGGCGGATGGTAGCGAGAATGGTGGTCTTGGGGATAGTTGTAATATGCCTTGATTGTAGTCGTGTTGGGGATGAAGGTGAGGATGGTTCCGGTGGCGACGACGATTGACTAAATGGTACCAGCCACAACAAAAGTAATCCTAGGGTCACAGATCCCATTGCCATACTACAGGCAATCCAAGGAGTAATGTCTATCGTGACAGAAGCTACATATGACCCAATGAGCTCTGCAATATAGAATGCCGAGAAGATATAGTAAAATGCATAGCTCCTATTACAAACACCAGTTAGTCTGGAATATTCACCCAACTATACATACTATTCACCTTTTATCTTCCGTTATGAGGGAAGAAGCCATCGCCCACATAAATGCTGCACTTGAGTATAAACCTCCTCCACATAAAAGGAACAGTGAAGACAACCATACCCAACGCAAATCGAAGATCTTTGGGTATGCACCTTATGAGATGCAGAGATTAGCAACATTTGAAGGCAACAAAGCAAAGTAGCAGAATACATACAAATAACAAATATTTCCACCAAAGATAATCCAACTCCAATTAAAGATAGCGCCATGATCTTTCTCCTTCCATATCGATCTCCCAAGTTACCAATCGGAATCGCTACTAGTAAAACTATATACCTATCAGCATTTGCCCTCTTTTAAAGAAACGAAAAATATACCAGGCACCGTATCTCCAAGACTTTTCCATCCCCTAATCGTCGCTAACGGACCCTGAATCTCGGGTATTTTGCACATTTCTGAAATAATTTCCCGATTATTTAATCTTAAGCTTGGCTCTGGAAAATTGTAATAAGACTGACAGAGGGAAGATTCGAAGAGGGAGATGAGGGGGGCTACGAGAACCATTTCGCAGAAGGCGATGAGGAAGTGGAGGGTCATGAAGTAGAGGATGAGGGTTGGGAGGGAGGGAGAGGTGGGGGGAGGATGAGGGTCATGGGGATGATGGTGGGTGGAGATAAGGGGAGAAGTCTCATTAGGTGGAACACTGGATGGGGAGGTATGTTTTGGAGGGATCGGGGAAGAGGACGGCATCGCTTGTATGATATGTTGTGTTATGTGAATTGTGATACGTGAGAAGACTGTAGGGAGATAGGAACCTTGGAATGAAAATGTGTGGCTGATTAACCTCGTTTGCGCCACAATGTGGTTCTCGTTGTGGCGTTGAGTGAGAGTATGATACTGCCACATTGTAGACGTCCGAAACTGGCTTCCGATACTTATAACTTGTGAGTAATCCAGTTGATTCTGCTAAATTACGGGATAATCGTTCAGTATATTTGGAGTTTAAAAAGCACTTGAGTTCGCAAGGGAGATGTGGTATTATCCATGTATTCAAGGATAACAGATAGCTCACCGGGAAGTTAGCACAAATACCTAGGTACTGGTTCATATCCATTCACCAACATTAGCCAACATCACCAACGTTGTCTAGAAAAACAGTCATTACAAATGCTCTTCATAAAAGCAGAAAGAAAAGAAGCGATGCCATTTGAATTGTACATATCATTACGTTGAAGCTCGCCCCGATCACTACGATTTTGAGAACGTCAGAAGATTTGAAATCATATTGCAGGTATATATCTGTACTATCTCGGCCATCATTGAACACAGAAACAGGCTTTAGATTGTACAGTTCTCCTAACATTATCAGTACATATCATCTCCAACTGTTTGATCACTACGTCCCACTATTCTGCATGAAAGTGTAAGCAAAACCTACCTACTTATATACTCCCTTGTAACTCTCCATGTATCCTTCCACCAAGTTCTTCCTCTCCAGAAGCCCAAACTACATTACTTCATTTCCTTTCCCACGCAACGTCCATCTAAGCATCAAAAAAGAATATGAATACCTCAAAGATTTACGACTTCATTATCGTAGGAGGCGGTACATCAGGTCTCGTGATCGCCACTCGACTATCCGAAAATCCTGAAATCCAAGTTCTCGTTCTCGAGGCTGGCGGAAATCATTTGGAAAATCCACAGATAAACATTCCAGCACTTTGGCCCTCTTTGCTCGGTACAGAACTCGATTGGGCATTTAAAACTATTCCCCAGGTAATTTTCATCACGTCTTCCTTGAATCGTTCAATGCTGATTGTTTGTGATAAAGAGTGAGCTTGGAAATCGCACTATAGGCCTTCCTGGTGGTCGTCTCCTTGGTGGATCAAGTGCCATCAATGCGCAAGCTTTTATCGCTGCATCTAAAGTTGGACTTGACGCCTGGAAAGAGCTTGGAAATGAAGGATGGGATTGGGATTCCATGGAACCCTACTACAAAAAGTGTCATACTGTAGAAATCCCAAGCGACAAGTTGAGAAAGGAGTTGAGCTTAAATCACTCACATCTTCAAACAACCCGGGGTCTGACGGTCCTATTCAAACGTCGTATCCTCCAAAAATGGATGCTGTCAGAAAAGCATGTGTTGATACCTTCAATGCTTTGAAGTATGAAATGTCTGAAAATGCATTTTCAGGATCTTCAATTGGTGGTTTTGTGAATAATTCGACAGTTAATGGCGTTACAAAGGAGCGGAGCTATTCAGCAAATGCTTACTTCAAACCCGTGCAAAGTCGATTCAATCTCCATCTCGTTACTGATGCTCTAGTTGAGAAAATCATTCTTGACAAAAAATCTGGGGAAAGCATGGCCAAAGGTGTGAAAGTCACTATCAAAGGCGTCGAACATATCTTTCAAGCCGGGAAGGAGGTCATAGTCGCAGCCGGTGCTTTGAATTCCCCAAAGATCTTAGAACTCTCGGGAATTGGTGATTCTGAACTTCTTCGCTCGCTCGAAATCGATGTATATGTCGACAATTATAACGTGGGAGAAAATTTCCAAGACCATACATCAAGCGGAATGAGTTTCGAGGTAGTTGATGAAATACAGACACTAGATCCTCTGAACCGCCAAGAACCAGAAGCCACAGCAGCTGCTATGTCCGCATATCAAACTGACAAAACTGGACCGTTTGCTGGTGCGGCAATATCGTCTTTTGCTTACATGCCCGTTCCAGACTTCCAGACACCCAAAGGCAAAGCCGAGTTGGATAATTTGCTGCTTACCTACAGACCCGAGAAAGAGAGTGTAACGTCTGAATTTGCACGATCTGTTCTTTCTAGTGTAGACAAGAGTTCCGCTTGCTACTTCGTGTATGCAGCCCATGGAAATTTTGGATCTGACGCAAGCTCTGCAAAGAACGTCACCATTAGCCACGAGACTTGCAACTTTCTTACAATTGCTTGTGAACTTGGATATCCGCTTTCACGAGGCAGTGTTCATATTCAATCTTCGTCGCCATCGGATAGTCCTATCATTGATCCCAAATATTTCAGCAATCCTATTGATCTTGATATCCATGCTAGATTCATACGATACATCCATAACATTGCTGCGACTGAGCCGATGGCTTCAATTCTCAAACCCGGCGGACATATCAGTCCAAGTTTTGCTGCATTTGGTACAGACTTGGAAGATGCCAAAGAATATGTCAGAAAAGCTATGATTTCCGCGTGGCATCCTTGTGGCACTTGTGCGATGTTACCTTTGGAAGATGGTGGTGTTTTGAACCAAAAGCTGGTGGTTTATGGCACCAAAAACATCAGGGTTGTCGATGCAAGTATGATACCTTTGATTCCAAGAGGAAATATTCAATCTACTGTCTATGCTGTAGCTGGAAGAGCAGCTGATTTGATCAAGTTGGATCATAATATCTAGAAATGCTTTAGCTGTCTTGATTGTTCACTCAATAGTATCCTGCGAATTGATAACCTTGGAATGTTATACTTTTAGACCTAATGGCTAGCCGTTTACCTTTTAAAGCCGAGAACATCTTCGCACCGTGAATATAACATGTCGCTTCGAAACCTTTCGTACGGTGATAATGTGGTTCTATTCCAAGCAAGCCTACTTTAGATAGACCTTAGAAGAAGCCTTTGTAACTCTTAATGTACTCATGCTGGCAACATCACAACATTATCGAGTGAGACAACAAGAATTAATAGTAGGGTTAAGTCCATTCTTTCGTAATATCAAATATCATTTTTCTTATATTGTAAGAAAAGTCCTCTTGATTTCCAAATTACACATAAAGAAGCTCCCACCCAATGACGTAGCTCGCGTAAGTGGGGTCTCTCTAATCGCGTCCCCCTCCTCTCCTCATAATTCCACTCGACAACATCAAATACGCGTTCTTAGCCCGCGTATTCTAGCCTCCCGGGATAAAATCCAAAAATGTCTCTCCCTCGCGTATCCCTCTCTTCATTTCTATCCTCCGCCAAAACTGCCCTAAACGGCGCATTGAAAAGCGGGGGAAAAGTTAATTTTGTCGTGGGTAATGAATCGGCTGGTATGTACCATTTGATCTCTTCTTGTAATACTCCGAGGAAAGATGTTAGCGGGAGCAGCTCGATACAATTGGTGACTAGCATAGGATCGTCCACATAACTAACACACACAGTAACTAGATCTCGATTCCCTCTGTAGCGCCATACTCCTAGCCTATCTACGTACATACTCCCCTCTCAACCATAGCAAATCCCTCTACATCCCTCTGTCGAATCTTCCCCGTGCGGATTTAGGATTGAGGCCGGAATTACATCCAATTCTGAAGAAAGCAAGAGTCAATGTGGGAGAATTGATTAGTCTGGATGATTTGAGAGAACACGGCTCAAAGTCATCGCAGTTGACGAAATTGAAAGCAGATGATACGAGATGGATATTGGTAGATCATAATGCGTTACAAGGGGAGCTGGGTAAAATTTATGGCGGGAGAGTAAGAGGGTGTATAGATCATCATGATGAAGAGGGGAAGGTTCCCGCAAAGGAAATCTGTGAGAAGGAGGGGGAAATGAGGATTGTAGAGAAGAGTGGAAGTTGTGCGAGTTTGGTCGTTGCATGGGCGCGAGATGGCTGGGCAGAGATGAGGAGAGGAGATGGAGTAGGCGGAGAAAGAGATATCAGGTAAGTTTGCGCTCTACAATATCCAGTTCTATCTGGATAATTGACATATCTCACACCGTTCTCGCTCTCACCCACAATCTTACTTGATCAAACTAACCCGATTTACAGTCAATGGGACGGTGAACTAGCATATCTAGCACTAGGCCCAATCCTAATAGACACAAACAATCTCCAATCCGCCGACAAAACCTGCGAAAGCGACCGAGCCGCTGTCCAATTTCTGGAAGACCTAATCGCAAAAGATCCCAATACATCAAAATCACCCTGGAACCGAGACGAATATTTCTCCACAATTACTGCCGCGAAAGAAGACATCGGAGATATGGAATTACGAGATATATTACGAAAAGATTACAAAGAATGGCACGAAGGGGGACTGAACCTGGGTATAAGTGCCGTGGTTCAGGATTTCGACTTTCTCCTCGCGAAAGCGGGGAGTAGGGATAAGTTGCTTGAGGTACTTGGTGAGTGGGCAAAGGAAAGAACTTTGGATATTTGTGCGGTGATGACAACGAGCAATAAGGATGGAGTGTTTAGGAGGGAGCTTTTGGTATGGGGTTTGGGAAACAGAGGGGTAGAATGTTTGAGGAAGTTCAAGGGGGAAGGAGAGAAAAGATTTGGGTTAAAGATTTGGGGTCAAGGCATACTAAATGTCGATGAGGAGAGGGAGATTAGACATTGTTGGTGGCAAGAGAGGATTGAGCATAGTAGAAAGCAGGTTGCTCCTCTATTGAGACAATCGATGCTTTGATATCGAGCGGGTGACTTTATAGGTTTATGATTTGTTCTAGCCCGGGTAGACAAGGGGTGAGTTGAATTGCATAGATTTAGAAGCGAGCACCATTGCCTGCAGAATTTCAACCCTACGTTGCAGATATATAGATGTTAAAATAGATGGCCGGAAGCGTTCCAGAGGAAAGAGTTTCCACCATAAAGCATTAACAGGAACAATTTTATACCAACCACTGTATCACATAAGACGGCAAGATTGAACGTTGAAAAGGTATTGAGACAATTAAACTAGGCGCTGGATGTCTATCTATCATTAAAAGCGTCTTTGAGAATCATAAAAGTCGGTTCAAAACAGCTTGAGCTCATCTCAGAGAAACACACGCCAGAAAAGAAGCAAAAGATAATCACCAATCGCTAGAAAAGAACGCTGCCCCCAAAGAACCTCTTTTACCTAAATCGCGCGACCCTTCCCCTTCCCCTTTCCTGCAAACTCCAATCCTGGGAAGGCCTCAGCCTCAGCTTCTTGTTTACTACGTTCCTCCGCTAGACTGAGTTGCAAAGCAAACTCAAGATCGTCTGACAACTGAGCATTCTTATCCATAGAATGTAACCCTTCATAACTGAATCTATTCTTGGATACCTGACTGGTCGATGGCGAAGTGGACTCTGACCGTCTTGTCTTTTTCTGTTTGTAAGTGAAATTGACATCATAATCACCAACACTTGGCGAATACCCATTGTCACCAATTGCCTGACCTTCCATCAGAGAAAGACGTATAGCCTCCTCAAGATCATGGTCATAGTTAGGTTGAGGCTCTATAGCTGAAGTGGGTACTGTGGAATGACTTCTCGTGCTAGCTTCAGGCGTAATAGTTCCAAAATCATTCTCGCCTTTGGTAGGAGAATTCTCGCCAGTATCTGCAAAATATCCAGCTTCACTTATACGGCGTTCTTCGTCATCTATAAGAGCTTGAGCAGACACCATTTCCGCATATTGTAAAGCTTCTTCTTCACTCAGGCCACCAAACCCAACACCAAATCGACCAGCGAGTCTCGCTGCCTCTTTAGCTTTTTCTTTCTTTTCTTGATCGAGTTCTTGTTGTTCTAATGCAATTTGACTCAACAAAGCTCCTCTACCAGTATTACTAAATCGATCGGTTGCTCCGTTACTACCACGTTCGCCACGGCGAAGCCTTCGCTTTTTAGTTTGAAACTGATCTGCAGCAGAGGAGCTGTAGTGCCAATATCGAAGATGAGTACCAAGTGAAACCATACCACGCAGGATTGTTGGATCAGGATCCAGAACGACAGCACCAGCTGCGTAAAGATTAATGCCAACTCCATGAATTCTTGCCTCTGCTTGAATCAATCGACGTCGAGCACGCGAAGAAAAGCGAGAGTGGAGAGTGCGAACAGGTTGATTGGATGATGCAAGAGGATCCCACGCCTGTACGAGGCCATCATTACCACCATGAACAACAAACAATGCGGAAATTGCCAAACATGATATTTGAGGCGATTCTGTAACGATAGTACGGATTGGATGTAGCTCATTGACCACCTGAGGATTTGCAGATTGAGGACCTCGCATATTCCACAAAATGATTTGGCCTATCTTAGTACCAACAGCCAAATACCTTGCGCGATAACCGGGGATGCTAGTCGAGGAAGTCTCATCAGACGGTGTCTCCGGAAAGGTAGTAAAATTTGTTTTCCCATTTACAGTATGCAATGGATCTTCGGCAATGGTGAGCAGGGCATATGTTGATAGGTCTATAGCAGAAGTGGTAATCTCAATGCCAGGATATGACTTCAAAGATAGCAAGGAACTCCGCCATTCTTCGTCCATGGGTGCCTCCGCATTCTCAGATGGCTGAGAAACATTTGTCATGGGTGATATTGGTGAATTTGGAGAGGTGAGCTCCTCTGATTTAATTTTTGATACATTTCCAAAAATCGAGGGTATTTGGGTTGGGTCGGATGATACTGGTGGTGTTGCTGGAGCAGTTCTTGGTAATGTGAACCCGTCAAGTGACGATTGTTCGACTTTACATCTTGTGTATCGCTTTATTTCGGCTTGTTCTCCAGGATTGATCCCACAACCAATGACAAAAACACTCTCACCTGCTCCGTTACCATCATCACCACTAAAGTCAACCTCAAGTCTTCGACGCATATCCCAGCCATCACAAATAGTTCGAAAATGTGATGGACGATACCTCAGGAATTTTTCGATTTCACGAGTTTCTGCCTTGAGCTGTTGTTTAGAGAGATTCATAGAAGTGCAAGAAGATTTAGGAGAGTAGCTGCCGTGAATTTCAGCTTGTTGCCATGGATCATCGCGTGCTATACGGCGGGAAGCTTCCACCACCTGCCAGTATACTGTACGGCCAGCAATCCAGGCTTCCTTACCCAAATCATCTTCATTTAAAGATGCATCAGATGGAGGATGTGTAGGTACTTCTGTTAAGTAAAATACTTCGCCTAAAGCGTTGAGCGCAACAGCCCAAGTTCGACGTGATGTTTTGCGCGAGATGCTATAAGAATCGTCCACGCTTATTGCAACTATAGGTACACCAGGGGAAGGAATCCATCTTGCCATCACCTGACCAGCCTTAGCTTTAGGGTTTTCAGTACCGACACCATAAGCAGTGATCACGCCAAGTGTCGATCCAGTCATGATTCCAATAACACCATTGGTAACTTTGGGTACAGATGAAGACTTAGCGATCCAAATAGATGATATTGCCTCGGTGAGGGGAGGTATGTTTGGAATACCAGATTCTGCATCGGCCAAACTTGGTGGTGAATGTTCTAAAAAGCGACCACGCATTTCATTTGGTGCTCTGTAGTAAGCCGAACCTCCAGGAAACCCTTCTCCATACACCATTCCAAAAGGTTGACTGACATCCATAACATTTGGAAGACCAGCAGGACCATCTCCAAGACCAAATGGAACATCGCCTGGAAAGAGATCTGCGAATTGAGGCATTGGTTGAGGATCAGTCAAACCCCAAGGATCAATTCTTCCAAGTTTAGGATCACTGCTACCAGCAGACCCAGTTTCATCAGTACCATGAATAAAACGTGGATATTTCTTTCCTTGTCCAAATGTGCCATGAATGTGATTGATGGATGTGAATAATTCCGAGGTATATGTAGTCACAGCACTTGTATTTCCCATACCATTTGCTCGACTTGAGTTACTTTGTTCAACTCCTTGAGCAGGTTTTCCTCTTCCAAGACTTCGTAAGAGCCGTGTTCGAAGCACATATTCGCTCCTCCAACTTGCCAAGCCTGTCAGTCGCGTAAAAAATCGTTGTTCGCGGAATTGTTCTCTTTCATCGTCATCTCCAATATGATCTAATCTAACAGGTGACGTCTCTGTAACATCTTGGCCTGGGAAATATCTCGAAAATGCAACGCGCCATGCATGAGGTGTAGTGACCAAATTGTAAAATCGACGCGATACAAGTGAGACTGCAGATAAAGACGACGCAGGCAAATGCGATAAAATATGAGTCAGAACCTCTGTAAAAGAAATCGTATTAGAAAATCAATTTATTTCGGGGTCATGATTGAAAATACCATTTGGAAAATTCTCTAGTTGCGGACCTTCCTCGCCCGTACTACCTTTCTTCTTCACCACCTTAAATCCAGGCCCCTCAGGTTGTTTTTTGGGTGGACTAGGAGCAAGTGCGTTTTCATACTCGGCAATTCGTTGATAAGATGGTCTTGGGCGATTCTCGAGATTGCTGTCCAAGTTCAATCCACGCAGTGCCTCATCCACACCATTGAGTGGCGATCGCCATCCTGATCCTGCTCTTGACGAACTTGTTGAAGGGGTTGAGCTTGCCGTTGAGCCATCAAGTCCATTTCGAGGACTGACCAGCTCACTGGACTGGATTTGCGGAGAGTGAATGCCATGATTAGAGGTATTGGGTAAATCTGACAGGTTTTCGAAGGTAAGAATGCTGTTAAAATTATCGGGAGGCGATGGCTGCATAAAATTGAACGTGAAGGAGTGGGGTATAAGGGTTTGACTGAGCCAGTATATCCGGTCAGTCTATTATTGAGTTGAGTAGTCGACGGTGTCGTGATGTTTCGAACGTTTGTGTGAATGTTGTAGTTTCTTTTGCTCTTGGATTTGAATCTTACTGAACGGGGGGTTATGTATGTTTCTCGTTTCGGTATCTATCACATTAAATCGGAGTCATGCAATTTCCATGTGCAAGGTGACGTCCCTCAGCATCTTTACTATATATGCCTGAGGTTTTGATAAACACACCCACCACGTGCCCACATCATCGACTGCCCCTCAGCCCTTGATTTCACAACCACCTTGAATCTGAACAATATAAATTATTTGGATTACCATCATCTGCATGAAAAGCTGTAGAATTCGGCTTTCAGTCTCAATCATGCTCCAACTCTAACTTCTACTGAATTGAAAACTGGAAGAACGCATGAACACTATTTACGAATTGTTGTATGCGTTACATCCATCTGGTCTCAAATCTATACAAACCCTTCTAAATTTCGACGTATGAGCATAATAAAGATGCTTTTGGGTATTTTGAAAGATTAATTTGGCATCATCATTATTGTAATATCACTAAGAAGTCTTCGTATATGACATAAGTACATTTCCAAGAAACGTATCAATCTACCCATCCCACCCAATTTTCCACCTGACTTTTTCATAACTCCTAAAACTCCATGTTGAAACATTGTCTCATTTTTCAGTTAAGTCATCATCATAATGAGACCAAGAGTGATGTATCCGTATATTTCAAATGGAGCATTGATCCTCCCAGCGTCGCTCTCTTGATCTGTGGATGTCACCGCTCCAGATGTCGTCATTGTAGAGGTAGACATGTGTGTTGAGTCTTCGCCTGTAGTTTTGAACTTTGATCCTTTACTTGTACTTGTATACATATCCTGCATCGACGAAGATTCAGAGACACCTGTAAAGGTGGTCTTTGAGAACTCAATGCCATTACTTCCAATTTTTATAGTTTGTTGATTGAAGGTGTGGCTAGTAGGTGTTGCTCCTGGTCCAAAAGTAAAGGTTGTTCCATCTATAACTGCTAGACTTGATCCAATTTGCGTGAATGTGACATCTGAAATTGTGACAGGATGTGTCGCAGGAATGAGAGGGTATGTTAAAGTTGTACCAGCAAGCATCAGGCCGCTCTGATCTGCAGATATACTTTCCCCACTGATCACTGTCTTGGTAGGAGTAGCACCAGGTCCAATATTGAACATAATGCTAGATATAATTGCGATTGATGAACCTACTTCCGTCACCGAGAGGCCGCCAACTATTCCAATTTGATTTCCTGATCTTGAGTTACCTCGTAAAGTCGTTTGCGCAAAGATCACTCCACTAGGGTAGATAACTATTGTTTGTCCATTGAATACATCAGTTTGAATGGCCAATCCTGATCCGTAAGTAAACGTTGAAGACCCAATATATGCCACCGAATTTCCAACACTTATGGGCTCACCACCGATAATCACATGGTTCGTAGGTTCAACAAGTAAAGGCGCCAGAGTCGTGTGCGCAAGTTGGATTCCAGCAACACCAATCGTGATTGTTTGGGTGTTTATAACAGTCACTACCTGAGGAGCTCCTGAACCTATTGAATAGCTCTTGCCATTCACGACGGCAACGAATTCTCCTAGTTTTACCGAAATGTTATCCACCAGAGTTGAAATTGCTGATATTTCGATACTGACTCCTCTTGAATTGGTAGTCAGGCCTAGTGATGTCCCTGAAGAATGAGTTTGAATCTGGTTGTGGTTGCATACTCTTCGACCCTGGATCTCCAGAATTGGCAGTCAGGCCTGGTAATGTCCCTGAAGAATGAGTTGGATCTGGCTGTGGTTGCATACTCTTCGACCCTGGATCTCCTGAATTGGTAGTCGGAGTTGGCGATTTCCCCGGACTACCTAACCTGGAAGCTGAAGATGGATTTGGTTGCGACTGCATACTCGTTGCCCCTGGATTGGTGGATTCGATAGTTTTATACGAACTTGGTAATGTCAATGTTGTTCCTGAGCCTATTACTTGAGATGGATTAACCGTAAATATATGCCCTTCTGCTTAATGGTTAAAGGTGAATTTTTGTCTTTGAATCGTATGTCCATTTATAATAACATTGCTCGGTGTCAAGATAACTGGGACTCCAAGGACTACCACTGAAGTTTTAGAAGACGAAGGTGATGCAATATCATCGTTAGATTCTGCTTCAGGATTCTCTACACTGTTTGATTCGGGGCTAACTGCTTCACCCGAAGAGCCTGGTATAGAAGTTGACGTGAAAGTCGGTGTAGATGGCTTTCCAATTCTTGTTACTTGAATTCCAGGGAAATGTGGTGGAGTATAAGAGGCAAAAACAACCTGTGGATTCTTGCTTGTAACAACAACGGTTGTCGTCCTTATTTGTGAATAACTGGGAGACGCTAATGGCGACAGTGTTAGATATTCTCCTGTACTTGTTTCATTTGACTCTATCAGATTCGGGTCGGTATCGTTGCCAAATGGAAATGATGGTAGCTCATACGCTGGTGATATCCCCGGTGGACAATAACTTGGAGGTGTAAACTCTGGTATTGGGGTATATGTTGCATTGCTAGCAAGTGTAATTGTTTTTGTGTTGGGTACCAGAATGAATTCATAATAGTCGTCGTCAGGGGAATCAAGAGCAATGCACGGATCCGTCTCGGGATCTAATTCAGGAGGTGTGACGGATGTGTTGAATATAGTATTGTTGAAAGTTCCCGTCTCACTGTGCCCGAAACTAGAAACCGTTTGGTGATGAAAAGATAATGTAGTCTTGTTTGGATTATTGATCAATTGTCTCGAGTTAGTGGGCGCAATTGGATAACCGAAGTTTGTGTTGAGTCCGAAAGTTGTTGAAGGAATGAGACTTTGAGACCGTAAAGTGGAATTAAGCGTTTGATGTGAAGATAGAAGTCACGTTTATGATATTGCCTGGCCATTGAGATGTAGGATTGTTGACCGGAACTGTGTCGGATGTGACGCCACTGAGTATATCAGACCATTGAGGCGTGGTAGTGACGGGAAGAGGATTGGCAGAGCTTTCATGTCTTTATAGTACCAATATTAGTCCAGGAAGTAGTAGGAGGGCTCAACGTCGGCGACGGATAATTAGTTGTCTCGAAGTCACTATAAATCGATGAAGATTCTGTTGATGATTCAAATAGTACACTTTTTGGATTGAAAATCGAAGATTGGTTAACTTGTGTAGTGTAAGACGTAGAAGTTATGCTAGAATTTGGAAATTGTTGGAATTTGCTTGCTCATATTAGTGATGTAGTCCTTGGGCAGATGGATTCAAGCGTGCCTTGAGCAAAAACTTCAGAGCATTTAGTAAGGATGAAAGTCCATATGAAGATTGATTCATGACAAAGCATTGCTCCAGATCAACCCAGAAAATAGCTGATCTTGTCGATGCCTAATGAAATAGACAACAGTCAAAGCTTGCCTGACTGTTCATGAGATAATAATAAAAGAAAAAGAGAGTTTTCAAATCCAGCCCACGTAAGTAATAAGTAAAAGAAAGGCACAGTAAAACATTTCCAAAAACCAATGTACAGGGAAGAATGTCAAATTGCTGAATGTTCGAGAAGCTGAAATGAAGAATCATTCTTATTTGAACGGCTTCATTATTTTGCCAACATAATGATAAGGATAGAATAGGTAGTGCTTTGATCTTGACTCTAGTGCTGCTTGTACTAATGGATAGCAAGTGACTCGCCCACGGTATTTGAAGTATGAAAAAGGAGACGTGCCGGCCATGATGTTTTCAGGGTACAACTAGTAACTTACAATACTTTCATCAAACCCGCTACTATCTTTGAACACTATGCTCGAATAAATCCGGTTATAGCATGCTAAGCTTATATCATATCTCATTTATGGAATGCAGCATGTTACCAAAGAATTTTGGTGGTATCACGGCTTTTTACAAAGCAAGTTCGTATGATCGCCTCCTTCAAAAGGTTTGTTACTCTCTTTACTAAGTAGAGTTGTCGGATGTCGGATACAGGGAGATCGTCGAAATGCTAAAGTAGGCTCATGTCGTAAATGTAAGTACCTTTTGGTGCGAGTCCAATCCAGATATAGCTAAGCGACAAACTTTCCGCGAAATAAACTTTTACGCTCTGAACTGAAATGCCGGAAATGATATGAATCCTGAATTGACAAAACATTGAGAGCAGACAGTTGATTGGGTAATCTCTCACACCCAAAAGAATTACTGGATGATATATACATCTAGCACTTGCTACATTCAAGGCTGTAGTGAGTATCTACAATGTGGATTATACTTGTGCTTTTGAACTACCACAAAGACAGTTTCCGTGGTTTCTTCAAAAGCTGGTAGCACAGATGAAAAATTTGTTAATGGCTCCAAGATATCCATGATTCTAGCAACTTCGCGAAGCCACAATATCATTGTGGCAAAATGCTAATCAAAAGCGAAAGCCTATTGTGATCAAGTTCAACGCTATGAAGTTCTTTTATCTCTCCATATAGACTTTAGCGGATGGCAGTGGAGAGTCTAGCCCGTACTTTCATTCACTATCGGTAAATATATGATTAAATTCTCTGTTAAGGAACATTGCCTCGGAGAAGTACTGACATGATATAATAATTCTGGTAAGGAGAAGCCAATAATTCCTTCAAGAAATAGACATATATATGGCTATATCGGACTGAAAATTCTACCAATCAAATCCGATATAAAAATGATAATTCAAGTGTTGTAATCAATATTTATGTCCGATTTCAGCTTCAAATTTTGATATTTTTGAAAAAGTATTATGTGATAGTAGTTAATCAAGTTTATTTATATAGAAAAAAGCTTATTCAGTTAGATCTATTATCAAAATTTATATCAGATTTGCAAAAATTTAATCCGATATTCCGGTTTTACCTAAAAGACCGGTATTCCTATATAAAAAGTATTCAAATCAGGAAATTATTCTGATATATTTATAATTCCGGTATATCCCAGTCCGGTATAGTCAAGTTCTACTGTATCATGTCCTTTCCTTATAAAGTAAATTAGCCGACAGTTCTACTTCAAGGCCCTGTTCCTGACCAACTGAACGTGCTGATCTGATCTAAATTTCGTCCACCACCCACTGACTTCTAAAATTGGGAAGAGACTCCACTATGTCTAACCTTCTTTTAAATTATCAGCCATGTCCCAATATTCCTCTTTCCCTTGCCCTCAACTCAATTGGCATTCTAAAAACCAGCAACCGTTCTACTGTTCCCAGATTGAGAGTTCTTCTTGACAGCTCGAGAGTGCCGTGATAGCTTTCGGCAAGACCCGAACCTTTGAAATTCATAGTTGATTTATCTCATATCATCGACAGATGGAAATAGTTGATAAGGAAATGTATGATAGTGAACTTTTGTTTAATATTGAAGCTTTTTTTACTTTTTTTTTTACAATCGTATGCTTTCGCTTAGTCGATGCTAATTGGCCCCTTTCCCTTGCATAATAGTTATTTTCTCATTTTCCTAGTTGGCTCCCCCATACAAACTCTGAATTCTCTCTTTTCCCTATAACAAAACAATTAGAGACCAAATTAATCACAGCACCAATCGAATAATCATTGACTGCTTCATTCATTGATTAATTGCTCTTCATTTCTTTTGTTCTTAACATCTAATTGGCTGTTTGTCTTTCATACCTGCTCTTCGGCCCGAGGCTCAGCCTAGTAACCTTGCGCGTTTGTCCCATCAGACCTTTGTTGCAGTTGCCGGCTATCTTTGCCATATATATATTCAATTTCTCCATTGCTTCAATTTGCTTGGCCTAGTTCGTTGGCTGTATTTTGTGTCTTCGATACAAAATCAAGACTATGATCTCTGGTTGTGGGAATTTGTGCTCTTTCACAACCACTTCTTCTCTTGATCCTGGGAAAATATGTTACTGGCGTGGATGCTGCTACAGCTTTGAGTCTAACGCTTCTACTGAATGGTATAGTAAAAATATCCCATTTGTTTAAGTAGATGCTGATATAGTTAAAGGTATGGAGACGATGGATCTTGGTCTGCTGTGTCGATCAGATTGGGAACTCCCAAACAATGGGTCAATCTCTTTCCAAATACACTCAGTGCTGAAACCTGGGCGATAGGGCCACATGGCTGTCAAGATGGTGGTATGTTATTTTTCTTTATATCATACTTGTTCTTGGGACGTGGAATCTTTAATCGATGTCAACTGGTAGTTTCTACTTCATTGTTTCTCGGAGAACTTGTCATATTCTTCTTTCTTGTGGCCAGATGAAAATTTTCGAGTTACTGCCTTTAATCAGACTACTTTAATTTTTACCCATTTCATACCGAATCATAGTTGATGGAATGTCATTTTTTAAACCGCATAATGAAGCAAACTTTATCTATTCAATATCAAGTGCTAATTGATGGATCATACTTCCATATCAAATGATTAGTCTTATCGTTCATACTATGATAACAAGTCTTATTAACATCTATCCCTTCCATCGAGTGCCTCAACCATTGAAAAGTTTTCATGAATGATATATCACAGTCGCGGAATTACTGTTCGTATTTTTATTTGTTTAGACATCTTTTTGAGGTTGGATCATAGTCTTTGGTTCAAGATTGTTAATTACGCTATTAAGCTATTTTTCACTTATAAACCAAACTTTATTATCTAAAAATCAAGTTACAGTTAGCGATTAGGACCGTACATCAAGTGATAAGTCTTAGCAATTAATCATCGTGTCTCGATATTCCCAGTAGTCAGGGTTTTAATCTGAGGATATAGGACCCTTGATTGTGGATTAATGATTCCATATCGCGTATCTATAAAGTCTTGTCTGGTTTAGAAGTTCAAGCTGAAACGTTCTGTAACCCTTACATACCTACTAATGATTCCTTTAAAGATTCGATATGCTTGGACAGCCGAGGCTCAATCTTTAACGCAACCCAATCCTTCACATGGGAGCCTTTGTTGACACTAGAGTCTTCTCCTTATTGGCGTCTTGGTACGGGAAACTCGCTGCAATGGGCACCTTATGGAAAGTATGGACTCGACAATCTCGCATTTGGGCCAGACGGACCAATCATTCCCAACGCGACTATCGCGATGATCAATGCTACAGAGTATTGGGTTGGGAGCTTTGGTTTGGGAGCTAGTACTGGAAACTTCAGTTATGTTACCCCAAATGTCACATATGAACAGCTAGAAACCTTGGGTGAGGTATTAGGTGCGGGATATGGATACACTGCGGGGGCTATATATCGTAAGTATTTGATAGTTTTGAGGTTCCTTTAGTACAGTCAACTAACCCAGCTCAGAGCAAAAGGGGGAACCAATGTCTTTAACATTGGGCGGATATGACGAAAATCGATTCATACCTCACAACGTTTCGTTCACTCTTACCCAAGATCCACCTGTACCTCAAGTCTTTGTTGACAGTATTTCTGTAATATCCTCCAATGGATCAAATGCGCCTATACAACTTGCGTCATACGAGGAGAACATCAACACATTGATTGATAGCTCGACTCCTTACCTATGGCTTCCGGAAACAGTTTGCAATCGTTTCGCGGATGCTTTGGGACTAAGTTATAATGAGTCCTTGAATCTTTATACCTTTGATGAAAATCCCACTCAACATAACAATCTATCGGATTCATCTACAACGACAACTTTTACGTTTAGATTCAAAGACAAAGCCTCAGCCTCGGATTTTGTCGAGATCGATTTACCATATGCAGCCTTTGATTTATCATTATCCTACCCATACATTCCCAATACCGAATATGGAACAGATGAAGCATCAAAATTCTACTTTCCATTGGCCAGATCAGCAAATAGTAGTCAATACACTATCGGTCGAGCATTTTTACAGGAGGCATACATCATCACCTCTTACGAGACCAATCAATTTTCCCTTCACCAAGCCGTTCATGTATCCGATACGCTAAATAACAAGAGCATTGTTGTTATTCCAAGTGGAGATATTACTACTGGACAAGAAACTGGCACAGTGTCATCCAGTCAGAATGCTCGCTTAACCGAGGGGCAAATTGCTGGCATAGTTATTGGTGTAATTGGGACAATAGCAACTTTACTGGCTACCTTATACTTTTCCTATATTAAATACTATAAGCCAAAGAAACTTGCGCTTGCTCTTAAGAATTCTACTTCTGAGTCCGAAGCTGGTATTAATCTTCAACAACTTGATAGTCCTCCGCCAACGGGGACCTATCCTTCAGAAGCTCCTGGTGATACCAGTCATCCAGTTGAGATAAACTCAGAAATTGCACAGCCAACAGAAGTTAGCGCCGAAGTCCCGCACCAACGTTTAGAACTTGTAGCTGTGATTCCAAAAGAACTCTCCGCAGAAACCGCAGTTGAGCTACCAGCAGAAGTCCCAGCAGAGTTTTTCAGAGGTAGTATTACTGTTGATAATACTCCTACTGGTAGTCATACCGTCAGTCCTATATCTGCTTCACATTCTGGTTCACTACCATCAATGAATGCTCTCGCCATCAGTTCTGCAGAGCCATCTTCGAGAAAGGATCCATTCTCGTAACTCCTACTCGCTCTTCTATTGTAGCAGATCAAGTATCGCCTATATCCTCCGAGACACAACTGCGGCCCGATGGATTTTCTCCTATAGCCGAAATTCAGCACCGCATGAGTCCTCCTCCTACATACGCCCTTGCAAAACCTGACAACTACGATTTTGCTAGAGATTTTCTTTCTAGCGACCAGCCACTAAGTCAATTCGCTTCTTCTACTAGCAATGGTGCCCCAGGGCCTAGTAATTATGTTTTTGCCGGAGCGATGCCTTCAGGTATTCAACCTCCAAATCCATTCGCTCCAACTACTATGAGCCGAGACGCACAAGTAAATGAGTGGCATCGCCGCGATGTGGAAAGACAAGAACACGAAGAAGAATTACATCGTCAAGCATTAGCTCGCGAAGAAGAAATCCGCGAGAATCAATTCCAGGCACGTCGTCTGGCACATAGACAGGAAATTGAGAGAATGGAACGACTAGGAACCGATGTTTTTAAATATCGCAATGAGGACGTGGGGAGTGTTCAAGCACCTTTAGAAATGCCGCTCAACGTGATGAAAACGAAGATCGCAATATACCTCCCACAATCCAGGACGAAGGTGATATTCCCAGTGTATCAGCTCAAGGAGGTGACCCAGAAGTTGCGCAAGTAACTCCTTTACGTCGATTCTCTTTTGAGAATGGAGATGATGACGATGTTGTTTGAATACGATTGATGTTCATTTCTTGACTACCCAGTTATCTTCGTTAATATGCTATTTCTCCTATTTGCGCCATTTTATTTGGAATTTTGGAACATGTGGTAGATCTTTTGTATATAAATGGAATTAGAATACCAGCGTGTTCAGAGGAAGGCGATTTATTTACTTGTGGGGGCCAAAAACGGTCATGTATAAACTATTGAGAATAAGACAAATGGACCGTCATAGAATGGGCCACAGGTGTATTTAAAATGAACACCTGAGTAGAACTTATGCCCAACTTCTCTTTAATGGACCATTATGTTAACTCTTATTGCATTATGTAGAGATGTTTTCATGAGATTGCCACGGCGATAGAGGTGGAGGAATAAGAGACCACGAACACCTGAAATTAATAGATATAGAGAGTCTTCATCTGCAAATGATAAGATTCGGACCCAGAACTAGATCTATCTTCGATAGTTCTTGGAAGAAATAGATGAATATGTTAACACCCGAAAATGAATTTCTTTACAAACGCCTATGGATGATTGAAGAGAATCAACTTTGGTGATATGAGCGTTTTGTGAAGTAAAGATGAAGGTACCAATCAAATAATAGTCTCAGGCCACTGTCTGAACAAGCTGGCTGTCTTCAATTTCTAGATATCGGTAAGAGTGTTTGGAATTAAGGATAAGCAACTCTCAGGTGGATTTGATGAGAGCTTTAGTTCAAAGTCGTTTGAAGAATATCGTGGAACATCATCTACCTTTGCTTTTGCAACTTTGAGCAATATAATATCCAATGATTCTTCGCTGATACCGATTGGGCTTGATTCTGAGTGTCTGTACTCTATCCGTATAACAGGAGGTACCAGCCATGTCAGCATATGAATACAATACCCATGTAAATTTGTTCTCAATATAAAGAGTGAGGAAGTATCTTGACCTTCAATAGAAAGAAAGGTGTGATGATTCAGTCAGATAGATGTGCTGGATTGGGGATTTAATTTTAATGAATATATAGAGAGCTTTGCGTGGATCTCCTAAAGCAATTACCAGAACAAACTGAAATCAAGCTAGACAAACTACAGTATCCAGGTTTTCAATGTAGTAGTCAGGAGAACAGTACTTTGATGAGCGCAGCAACAAACCATCTTGGTTGGATGATCCAGGAACTTTGTATGTAAACGACAAGATCGAAGTACTTCCTTGATGAATTCCCAGATTTTAAACAACAATAACAGACGAAAACTTCGAGTTTCACAAACCCCCTCAATCTTCATCGCATTCTGGGTACAAGCGACTTCATTTTTATCTCCACATCCATACCTATTATGTTGTGACCTCCGATCAACAAACCCATCATTTACACAACCCACGCACCACACTTCACCAAAATAAGTCACAAGATTTGTCGATCCTTCACTTTCTTCCCACTTCATTGGTATTTCAATGACTGCTGCCAACCATATCACAGCCACTCTGTCCTTAGCACAACATTTCCCACTATACTAGGTGGCGAACGTTCATTCCTTCATGAGCCCCAAACCCCCATCTCCCCACGGTCTGGGCGCAAAATAATATATGTCAAGAGACCAAGTGATCATGAGCTACACAGCAATACATTGTTTATCTTCCTTGTAATATCTGAGCATAATAAACAACCAAGTCTATCCAAGATTTCCGTCCACAATCGCAAGACTTATTTCTTTACGCACCACAATCTTTTTGATCAATTCAGATAGAATTATACGTCATCAAATCCCCGCCCTCATATCCCTTCTCCGATTCGTCTAAGCGAGCTTGGGTTCTTCGAGTCCTTTGTCGTCCCCTCCAATGATTTCTCATCCCTCATGTTACACAAAGCCACTCTTGTCTCGCCAAGTGCATTGCCTTTACCATTTGTGTAAGACAAGCACACATCATCCAATGAGATGGAGTAATTCTTTTGAATTGTATTCCTCTCGATCCATCTCTCACATTATTAGCCCACTCTTTCCACAACGCAGAAATGAACATGCGGGGAATTCTCCATCTTGCACTCTCGTCTGGCAAGCTACAAAGAAAACAAAGAATTGTGGCATGTCAAATTTTTGTAATTATGATAGAGTTTTACCCATTATTCTTGCCGTCTCGACGGAGATGTGCGTCGTAGTCCGTCATACCTGGAAGCTTTAAATAACAGAGGAGCAGCCGTCCTTCCTCTTGGCTTGATCTTGGTCTTTGTGTTCATGTAATCAATCAATATCAATTGGAAATTCTTCAATTTCGAACAAACCAAACCTGTCGCAGTAATATATCTGCATTTTTACACTGAGAAACAAAAGTCCTGCATCAAATTACATGAAGCTGCAGAAACGATAACCCAAAACGTCGACAAGACAGATTATCATCACACAAGCGAAATATCCATTAGAATAAATATGGCCTCACCACAAACACAAAGTTCGTTCTCATCCAACCTTCAAGTTCCAAATGATTCAACTAATACCGTTCTCCCATCTCCCACCTCACCCACTTCTCCAACCTCTCCTATGGGCCTCTCTCACGATGATCCCTTCGCCGCCCAACGCAAAGACCCCATAAACAACAACCCATTCGCTTCCAAAACCCAAGGCACAAGTCCCATGAATATTCCCACGCCCAGCTCTCCAAACGCAACAAACACACATTCCGGATCACCAAATCAAGATCGAAGATTAAGTTCTGATGAATGGGGTTCGTTGGTTTTCCCTCTCAGTCGTCGTTCATCACATCCCTCCTCGTCACCATTGTTATTACCATCCCTTCCTTCCTCATCACCATCTCCTTTTACATTACCCCATTCATCATACCTCCCAACATCCCAAGCTCCACTCTCTTCATCTCTTATTTCCTCCCCCTTTAATTCCAATTCTCTTTCTCCTGTATCCTCCCGCCAAAATCGATAACAACACTAACACAACTCACCCAATCATCCAGACGCTTCAAAAACACCCCCTTCTCGTTTCCAAAAACGGAAAGGTTCAATCTACGCAACACCAAGTTCTCGCGATGGTCATGTGGATAAGCATATTGATCGTGATGCCGTTTTCCATGCAACACACGCGGAGAAAGGATACATGGGAATCTTCGGTCTTGGTGGGAGTCGCAACAAGGAGGGAGGAAATCAGGGTGGAAGGAGAGCTAGCAAAAGCGAGTGATTGGATAGGAGAGGACGAGACTGTGAAGTTGGAAAGAGAACAAGGGAATTTCATCCAAGAAGAAAAGAGATTTGACATATGAATACCTAAGTAGTGTTGATGAATTGTGTAAAAATGAATCCGAAGGGAAATTTGTATGAGAGATGAGGAAAAGTTTGGAAAATATAATTTCCATCATTTAGCGAAGCAATCTTTAATATTTCCACCGCCTGTACCTATGATACCAATAACATACATATACATTTGCAGACAACAGTGTCTTGATCGTTTGTAAACCCAATTGAAAACGCCGTCCTATGCATTGAGAATCCTTGAGATCTCAAATTCCCACTATGTCCAAACTCCCTTTGATTGACGTTCCCCGTATTTTAACCTCCCCCACCGATGAAACCCCATTCAAACTACTCCCTCAATCATCATCCATACCATCTAATTCGATAGCATCAGGATTTTCAGTAACAACTATTTCTGGTTGCTTGATATTTCCTCCTTGAGGACCTGTGCTTGCTGGTACGAATCCAACAGGAGCTCTTGCCTCGCGTTCTAATGCTGCCATTGCATCCGCAACTTCTTCTCCATCCTCATCAGATTTTGCTTGACTTCGAGCAAGAGCTTGAGAAGCAATAAAATTGACATCAGTATTATATTGTGCTTGAACACTTCTCTTGATACGAAGCATCTCTTTGAATGTATCTTCGTTTCCGTGTTGAACCTCGAAAGATTCCCATTTTGACCAAAAGGTTGGACTTGTTCGAGGGTCGCAAAATTGAGATGCGTGTCCGTAAATCGCTCTTGCACGATCAATCTCGCCTAATCGTTTCTCCATATCGGCGAATTTCAAACACATATCTCTGGCATCTTTATCTGGTAGTGCCGCAATAGCTCTTTCGTAAATTGGTCGTGTTGAAGGTAAACCGAAATTGGAGGCCGACTTGGTGATGTAAAAGTTGAACATGTCTGCGCGATCCTCATCAGAAACAGCCCGAGTTGCTCTTTCGTAAATCCTCATGGCATGTCTCGCTAGACCCCGCTCCTCCTCGAGATTTCCATACATAAGATACAATACTTTGGCAAATCTAGGAGGACATCCTTCGACTGCCTGCTCGAATAGATCTCGAAGACGTTCGATACCAATTTTTCTATCAACTGCCTTGGTCAAGTATAAATTCCAGAGCTCGAATGCTACCGGATAGCTGAATAGATCCAATCCTCTCTCGTAAATTTTGAATGACTCTTCGAAATATTTGTTCTCCTCCAGTAAATTGGCATAATTGACAACAGTTTGTGGTGTTGCAATTCGAAGTTCGAATATTCGTTCGTATATCTTCTTGGTTTCTTCCAATGTGCTAACACTCTCCACCAAGTCTACATAGAAACTCCACAACTTCCAGCTCTTGTGAACTCTTTGTTGAGGTGAGAGAGTCTCGTCGAAATAATCAACATTGGATCGTTTCGGTGCCTGAACTGCCTTTGCCATAATCTTTACAGCTTCATCGAAGTTTTCGTTTCTTAATTCCATCTCCGCCCATTCAATCCAAGTATCAGCAAGTTCCGCCACAGATTTGAAAGGTACTTTCACTGCCTTTTCGAAGATAACACGAGCATTACGTAAATCCCCACCCTCTTCGTAGAACTTGGCGTAATTTGACCATAACTCGTGAAACTGTCCAACGGCTTTCTTCGGCTGAATAGCAGCAATTGCATCTGTGTATGCTTTAACCACTTCAACTTTGTTGTCCCCCCACAGAGAAATACGTTTCATCCATTCGGGTACATTGCTTGGATTTTGCCGCAATAATACGTCGTTCAGTAAGAATGGTCGACGATCCATAAGTTGCTCGAATCTCATCATTCGAATATCCAAATCAAAGTCTGCATTTTCGTCCACAATACCCTTCTCTGATCGAACTGCAGCCGCTTCCATTAGAACCCCAGTAATCGATTCCTCGAATTCGGCATAAGAATCGAATATCAGTGTGAAATCCCGAACGGTCATAACTGTAGTGATTCCCTCTTCAAATACATCTCTTGCCCGTTCAAAACTACCCCGAGTGATCCAGTATGTTGCTAAACCGGACCATAATTTTCCTCTCTGATCCGCAAATCTATCAATGCCACTTCGAATAATTTTTTCGACATCAATTCCGATTTCATCTCCAGTTTCAACTTCCTTGGCATGCTCCACAAGAAGATCTACCATCTCACTCCATAATTGATAATGGCCCTTTCCATGTTTACTCCGGAATTTTGGGTTATTGAGTATATCCATATATTTCTTGACGGCCTCAGTAAAAAGTTTCATCTCAATTAAGAGTTCAATAAAATCTTCGGCATCCTCCGGATGGATCTGCATGTAACGTCGCCATATCTTAACAGCTGTAGAACCTGACGCGGAATTCGCAAAAGGACGGTAAAGGGCCCAAATTCTGTTGTGTTGTGTAATGGGTAAAGCTCGAAGTGCTCGATCGAAAGTTCGGCGCGTGAGAGTAACGAGGGGTTGGAATAGCAAAAATTGAAGGTACATCTCCCAGATTTTCGGCATCTTATTCAAAAGAATCAAGGCTCGTTCGTAAAGCGCGTTAACTTTGGCATATTCGGGGGCAAAAGCTGCAGGATTCAACTTTCCCAAATGCTTCATTCGTAATGTAAGGTACTATTTTTCGTCAGCGGATATTAAAGCGGGGTTTGCGCGCATAGATGTATACCATTTTCCATAACTTGTAAGATCTGGGTAATTGTAAACAAGCTCGTTCCAAAACGAAAGCTTGCTCGAGTTTTGTGCCATGCTGAAATTTGAACTCGATGTATGCCAACCAAGGCTTCGTACTGCCTGGATCGCGAAGGATATCCTGCTCATAGATGGTATCTTCTTCAGACTATCGATTGAATTAGTCAACGTGATCGTTTAATGAGATTGTAGGGTATCTGAGGGAATAGACGTACAATAAGATATAAATCTGGCTTTCCTCGAATCGATAAGGTTAAGGCGGATTTTATTTCGGGGACGCTGGGAGCAGCCATTATAGGGAGCAACTCTCCAGGCATTCTCTGCCTGGAAAACAGAGAATGCGATCAGTCCCAAGAGGAAGAAATATTTGGATGACCGTCTTAAAAGACGTCGAGGGTGTTGGGTTGGTCTGATCTGGTCGTTCGACCTCTTTTTTTTTCCGTACCAACAATCAACCGACTTTGCTACTCAATGCTACTCCAGGGTCATTAGCACTACGGGAGACTAAGCGACAGTATTGGGGGAAATGTAAACCTCTTCTACCCGAGGAGAATAAGAATCAGTAAAGGAAGAAACAAAAGATGGAAAGGGTCTGGTGTCTAGTAAAAGTACTAAAGATGTCTGATATCCACTCGAGGAGTGAATAATGATAATCAATCTCTCTACCTATTCTTCCTAACCAAAGATACAATGTCCGAAGATTGAGATCTACTTGAATCACGTGAAAAGAATTGAGATATAACAGTATTTTGTTTGAGAAGCGCTAAGTTCACACCCCCAAGAGCTTGGACTTGGGCAATTACAACCATGAAGTGGGAGCCAGAGCTTAATCAACAACTTCTTATCAGCCTTCTCTTCCACTCTACAACAGCCCTCTCTTTATACTTTGAGAGTTCCCCTTTACGCTTGAATTGATAGAGAGGAGTTGAGCTCACAGGAGTATTACATCGCCAATCATCTAATCAATTTGAAAAGCTACCAAAATGTCTGGAGCCGGGGTAAGACAAAGCAACCAATTCCAATGGATTCATATATCTTCTTAACTAACATAATATAGAATCGAGAAGCTGTTTTCCCAACACGACAGTCCTTGGGATTGATGAAGTCGAAGTTGAAGGGAGCGCAAACTGGTCATGATCTATTAAAGAGAAAGAGTGAAGCTTTAACTAAGTATGTTTACCCCCAACCCAACAAGCTCTTTGCCTTACTGACTCTCATTGCGCAGACGTTTCCGAGGTATTTACACTGCACTCATACCAGTATTCTCTCAAATGTTCCTAACCCTACTCCAGAAATCACCCGCAGAATCGATGAAGCCAAACGAAAGATGGGCCGAGTAATGCAGATAGCCGCCTTTTCTCTGGCAGAAGTAACCTATGCGGTAGGAGGAGATATTGGTTACCAAGTACAAGAATCCGCAAAATCGGCACGATTTCGTGTACGGACGAAGCAAGAGAATGTATCTGGTGTATTCTTGCCGGCTTTTGAAAGCTATACAACGGAAGGCAATAATGATTTTGGCTTGACGGGTTTGGGAAAGGGTGGTCAACAGGTACAAAGATGTAGGGAGACTTATGCGAGAGCTGTGGAGACATTGGTGGAATTAGCCAGTTTGCAGGTATGTTTAGAATAGGACCAACCAAAACCAGGGGAGGGGAGATGTGTTGAATGGGGCTGATATGTTGTGATTAGACTGCTTTTGTTATTTTGGATGAGGTTATCAAGGTTGTGAACAGGAGAGGTAAGTTCAATTCTAGATCTAAAGCACATAACATATACTGATTTGATATAGTAAACGCAATGTTAGTCTTTCTATCATTACATCACACCCCCATTAATTCATACTAACCAAACAAAAGTGAACATGTGATTATCCCACGTACAGAAAACACCATCAAATACATCAACTCAGAGCTCGATGAATTGGACAGAGAAGAATTCTTCCGATTGAAGAAGGTTCAAAACAAGAAGCAGAGGGATACAGCTGCTCAAGATGCAGAGATGAAGGCGAAGAAAGAAGCGGCAGCAGAGAAGGAGAAGGCCGAAGTTAGTGAAAAGGAGAATTCTACCCATACTGGAGATATTCTAGGTGATGAGGAAGATGCGGATGTCATTTTCTGATGCCTCACAAATGCCATTTTACTTGTTTTAAGTTTCACCAATCGGGTCATCAACTCGAATAAATATCATGTAGCATTAGCGAATACTGTAATTAAGATTGAGCATTGTTTTCTCTATTTAGCTTTACTCATTCGTGAAGAGCAATCTATGAAGCATTTCATTCAATGTTGCAATGACCTTCCATACCAATGGGCACGCAATCTGAAATCCCCTCATGATGCCTTCATGTAGAAACACCCCTTCACAACTTACTGTCTTTGATAAGTGACCTTGATAACCTTCTGCTCATCTCCCAAAGCCATACCCGCCGTATTTTCCTTAGCACCAATACTTCCTGTTTCAGTCTCATACTCCACAAATGCAA